TTCGTATAAATTTCTAATGCATTCGTAACCAATGTTGCAGCACGTACAAAGCACAACGGAAAATGGCTAAAACCCAACCAGAGAAGGGGCTGTGGACTGTGGGCTGTGGGGGCTTTGGAAAGTGCTTCGAGGTAAATGTTGTCAGTGGATAAACCTGTCACTAAATGAACTTTACGCCACCCACATCAGAAACTTCTACCAACTCGCTATTAAGCTCAAATCATAAATAATTAGTGCCTACACTGGGAAATATTTCAATGGATATTTCACTAACAACTTGTTAAGTTGCAAGTACGAAGTATTATATTTTTTGTTCTGAATGTTTGTCCAATACTTTAGCACTCTTTTCTGGGAATCACTTTTTCAATTGCACATTCCTACTCGTTAATTATCGTATCTGTGGGATTGTTATAATCCCAACTTTTAGATAAATAAGTAAGTTTCTTTGTATGTAGTTCTCTCGTGCGCCACCACCACCCCTTTGCGGTCACCCCCTCTGCGGAGCTGAGAATTGGAAGTTGCACAAGCTCGGCTCTTGAAGGTTATTCCACTTTTTTTTTTTACCTATTTTTTTTTTTGTTTTTTGTTGGAACCATCGTATTCAAAATCTTTGAGTGTGTGCGCGTGTCCCCGTAATTGCCTCTGTATGTTTGTCTGTGTGGGTGGGTGGTGTATTTATATTCACCCTATCGTTGTCAAAGAACGCTTTCTGCTTTCCACAAAATAAAATCAAAATACTGGTTATTGTATAATCGGGAATTTAGGTGGCAATTAGCTGGCCTCGTTTTCAAAAATGCACATACACCGTTTTTTCGAAAAGAAAACACCACAAGACTGACTGACACTCACACGCTGATACGACACTCGTATACCGTTAAGCGGGTAAAAACAGGGGGGGGGGGCCTGCGAGCGGGCGGTGGGTGGTGGGGGGGGTGAGATAAAAAGAAAACGCGGTAGTTGGTTGACGGTGGTAGGCGCGGCGGTGCTTCAGGTAAGCTTCTCTCTGTGTGGGTGAGTCGGTAAATATATGTAAGTGTATATGTATGTATGTATGTGTAAAGCTAGCGTGTGTAGTACTGCGGGGCACGTGTAACAATGTGTGTGTATTTGCAATCCAAACTTTACGGGCTTTACGCACTCGCTGTGTCAATCAATGAATCAAACTCGAACTCCACTCTCAACTGGCTGGTATCACTCGGTTTTGTTTTCCTTTTTTGTTATTCGGGTCTACTGATTTTTTGGTCTTTTTGTTAAACAAACTCGTTTAGTAACAACTTCACTTTGTGCACTGTCTTTTTGGCTGATGTGTCTGTGTGGGTGTGTGTTTATGTCCGTGTGTTTTGTGTGTTGCAAGTTTCTGTGGCTCTTGGCTTAAACCGAATCGCTTTTCTCGGCCACCTCTCGTCTGTAATTCGCGTTCGACAGTGAAGCAAACGAAAGCTTTCGGGCCAGCTTTAAACTTTCAGTAATTGGCCAGTGTGAACGCTGTTTAAGCCAACAAAAATCCGTTATTTTTATCTTACTATTATAAAAATATTTTTGAAATTGTAATAATATTATTTCTTACAATTTGTATTAATTTTTAGATTAGTTTTAATTCTTGTATTATAAAAATACTAATAATATACTTTCATAACAGAATTACTTCCGGCCGCCATTTTCTGAATGGATGGCAACGTTGAGAAGCGCCCAGACAAAAGCTGACTGCTCTGAAACCCTTAGCCCTCGTTCAAAAGCAATGGCGCGTATACGTAATATTTGAAAAACTCTTCAAACTGAATACAATCTAACGATTTTCATTGATATTGGCTAAGAAGCTAAGCCTGGTCTATTCAGGCAATTAATTGTATGCTTTAGGCCATTGATGGCTCATCTGCATACGCGTGTACATGTTATCTATTTTTGGCATGCTTAGTAACTGGACAGGCACGCGAAAAACTCTTCGGGCCATTAACAAGCTAATCAAAATGCATAAATCACCAATATCCAAGACGCCAACTACAAAGTCTCTGTGCCGCAACGGATAGCCATTCACTTGCGGCCGAATCTTGTACATATATTTGTCATATTTCCAACCTATCAACGACTTCATGGACCCGGTCCGGGTCATATAACATGGTGGCTAGACGACTGCAATTGGCAGAAAACAAAAATCCAAATTATACAATTACCCAAAAACAAATGCGAATTAAATTGTAAAAGAAGCAAAAAGTGAAACCAGCAAGCGAAAGCCATCGCAGCTGTAGCTGTAGCTGTAGCTGTTAGATGGGAAGATGAAGTTGTAGCCCCAAGATCCAGCTGAAGTCGAGGTTGAGGTTTTTTTTTATGCGAAGATGCACTTTTGTCCCAGTCCGAGACACCTCTCTCATAATCGGATGGCCGCGGCAGATGTTAGCCATAAAATTGGAAAGGAGGAAACTGTTGGAATGACCAGCCAACTGGTTATATGGCCAACGATAGCCAAACAATCTTCTGGTGCCCAATGACCAATTAATATCAAAATAAAACAATCGACAGATTTATAATTTTTGTTTTTTATATTTTTTTGTATTTTTCGTCGGTTTTATACTTTTTAGGTATTTTTGTTTGTTTTTATTGAAATTCCTTAGATCGCAAGAAGCGCACAGAAGTAATATGTATGGTAATTGTTGTATATGGTATAGATATAGATACATTATTATTATTATCATTTATATATAATGTAATAAGTAATATTTATAATTTTTTCTTGTGTGTTGTGTTGTGTTGTGTGTGTGTGTGTGTTGTTTGGGTGTATGGGCAATGTGTGTGTCAGTGTTTCAATGTGTGGGTATGTTGGTATAATAATTAGATATACGTTATTAAGTATATATTATATACAAATCTCAATGGATTGTTGATTGATTTGCTTGAATTTACAATTATATCTGGTATCTGGTATCTGTATCTGTAGATTTGTATAAATTTAAGATTACACGCTAGAGATATTTCAAAAAATGTCCACTCTCTACAGGCTTATCCGACTAAACATACATTCTAAATAATATATATATGTGTATATATCTATATATTTTATTGTATTGTATTGTATTGGTTTTGTAAAAACACAAACCGCCTATTTTGGGGACCCAAATAAAAAATAAACCATTCTTGCATCCTTCTGATAGACTTTTCACTTTCATTATTATTTTTTAAAAGATTTTTTTTTTGTGATTTTTTTTTTGGCTTAGATTTTGATTCAGTTTAGTTGCGGTTTCAGTTTCAGTTTCAGGTTTTCTCGTTTTTTTAATGTTTGCACTAAGTAAAATGTATTGCGAACTATTCGGCCCGATCCCTCGCGGGGGAGGACTGGGCGAACAATTCGCAAATTGGAATACATTGGCTTTGGACCTTGTCGAATATGCATATAGATAATCTGGATATATACACATACATACAGCGTACATCGTACATTGTACATCGTGGATTATGTCACAATGTTTAAACTAAAGTTAATACATAAATTCAAAACACAAGTTCAAGGTTAACATTATACAAAAGTGTGTGTGTGTTGGGTTAGGGGGTGTGTGTGTTTAAAGTTTAAACAATTCTTAAAGTTTTCAAAGAATGCACGCGGAGAGGAAACATCATCGTCATTGTCATCATCATCATCATCATTATCATCGTCATCAAATCTTTTGTGGACCTTTTGTCTTTCATTTCTTGTAGATACATAAATATATATATATATGCCTTTATACTATAAATATATATATCGTATATATTTGTTACATATTTTTTTTTTATTTTTTGTTGCAATTGCAAAAAATAGAAGACTTACACATAAAGCATTCATATATTTTATCATTTTTTTTTTTGTTTCTTGATTTGTTTGTAGCATTCATTTTTTGTTTTATAAATATTTTTGTTTAGTTTGTATATCAGTTAATCATTCATAAGTTATCACCCATCGGAATTCATTCTTCTCTTCAAACAATCAATCAATCAATCAATCATTCACCGAAAATATTCTACAAAATATGACAGCTCTTTAGAGATTTGTTTTAGACATTTAGTATATAATTTTAGATATTTTTTTGTTTGTGATTTGAATTTCATTGAGCAACTCGTCCTCCTCCGACCTCTACTACAGTTCCATTTGACTAATATTTACATATTATCGTATCATTTTGTCGCCTCAGCCTGCAATTAGATAGTTGCTTGGAATTCCTAGACCCAAAAGGTCAATTCATAATTAACAGGCTATATCATATACATATACAGTACTAATTTTTTTTTGTTTCTCTGGGTGAGTGTCTGTTTGTTTATTAAAAAAAAAAATAGATTACAATGTCTATGGATGAAATATTACAACACTTGGTACTTCGGGGGGTTTTTTGGGGGTTAGTTTATTACAAAAAAAATTGAGGAAAGTTGGAAAAGATGGAAACGCTGTTGGACCGAGCAAACAGAACAAATTTTGGCATTACACTACATTACTTTTTCTCTCAAAGGTCTTACAAATCATAATTTTGTCCTCTCTATATAGCTATATAGCTAGTCCTGGCAATGACTCCAGTGAGCAGGGGGTAAAGTATAATATCCTTGATCAGGCTGCATTGTACTTCTCACTTGATTTGAAGATTTCAGATTTTAGATTTCAGTTTTAAGATTCAGATTAAGATTCATGCATTGGGTGGATTAATCAAATATTTCAAAATTACATTCTTTTGGGGGTGTCGCTGGGAAAGCAACTGTAGCCGTCTCGGGTTCGATATGATTAAGTTACAATACAGATTATTAAAGTAGGAGCGCGTGTGGTTGGGTCGTGGAAAGTTTACAGTCGCCTGTCACATTGATGAATATATCGTAGTGGAATCGTATATATATATAGAAAAGGAAACGGGTAGGTAGAGCTCCGATCAGGCTGATAACAAAGCAAAGTGGAAGCTAACCGAATGATAAATGAATCGAAACAGTAATCGAAAGGTACCCAGGGGCAAGGTAATCCACCAATGATCCGATCCGATCTGATCCTCCCCTTATTTCCTTGGCTGATGAAGTTGCTTCTTGGGCTTTTTGGGCTGTCCTTGCTGCTTCTGATGATCCTGTTCTAGTTGGTGTTGCTCCTGCTGTTGCTCGGTCACGTTGAGGTAGGAGTCCTTGCCCAGCAGCAGTACACTGGGCGCTGAGCCGTCGTGCGGATAGAAGTACGCGAACTGGCCGCTGTAGGTGCCCGCCGCCGCCGTCTTCCTGCCACCATCCTCCTCCGGCAGGTTGTAGTAGACGGGCACACCGCTGATCTGCTGAGGTGTCAGCACCAAGCTGCCAGTGACTCCTCCTACGAGAGTGGCTGCCGGGGCCGGGGCCGGAGCCGAGGCCAGACCTCCTCCTCCTCCTGCGCCTACAACTTCTCCTCCTCCTCCTCCATCTTCTCCTAATTTTGATGACTGTTTCTGATCGATTCTGGTAGTTGCTCCTCCGCCCGTCCTCAAAGTCCTTGTCATGGTTGTGGTTTTAGCTGCTCTTCTTGCTGACGCGGTGGCCTCCGCTTGATGGGCTTCTGCTTCTCGTGCCACCTCCTCGCCTCGTCCTTGGGTCTTGCCCATGTCCTTCTTCTTCCTGGAGCTAGTTGCGGGTCTAGTTGTCTGATTTCTGACTTGGGTGTCGGGTGCTGATTCGGATTCTAGTTCTGATTCAGATGGTGATGGTGATAATGACGGTGGTTGTGGGATTAGTGGTGCTGTGTCTATAGGTGGTTCAGTTTCAGCCGAAAGCACAGATCCCCATGCATTCTGCTGATGCTGATTCTGATGATGATGATGATGATGTTGATGCGGCTGCTGCTGCTCCAATCACGTGCTCAGCCAGGTGGAGTTGCACGTGCAGATGGTGCTGGGGATCACAGGTGCATAGTAGACGCCGTTGGCGTAGATGAGTCCCGGCGGACCGGCCTGTATCTGTATGGTCTGCGGGCCGGCTGCCGCCGACTGGTCCGCGCTGCTCGTGCAGCAAACGGCAGCGGGAGCGGCCTGTTGCACGTAGATGGTCTGCGCCTGGGCCGTTGGCGGCGCCTGCGAGACCAAGGTCAGTGTGGTGGCCGGCTGCGGCTGCTGTTGCTGCTGTTGCGCCTGTGTTTGTTGTTGCGCTTGCTGCGCGGGGTCCAGGAACTGATGCTGATGCTGACGGTGATGTGGATGATGTTGTTGTTGCTGCTGCTGCTGTTGCTGCTGCTGCTGTTGTTGTTGTTGGTGTTGATGCTGTTGCTGTTGCTGGTACTGCTCCTGGGCGTGCTGCTGCTGTTGCTTCTCCTGCTTGTTGAAGAGCACCTGGGCGGCCAGCGACTGGATTAAGTGGAGGGTCTGACGTCGTTCGTGGCCCATCAGGCAGACGGTCGACATCTCGACCACCTCGCGTAAATGCATCAGGTACTGATACTGCAACGGCTCCTCATCGACCCCCCAGAAATGGTTACGCAAATAGGCCTCCAGCTTGATGGTCTGCGTATTGATGTCCGGGAAATCGATGAAGAACCGCGAGCACATGTACCGCTCCAAGGTCTTGATGAGCTGCGAGTCGACGGCCTTGTAGTTACGCACCAATAGATTGCAGTACTTGAGCAGGCCGCCGCCTCGTATCTCCTCCGGCTGACGCGTTGAGATCAGTTTCTTTTGCAAGTGGTAGAGTGCCTCCTGGAAGTCGCCGTACACCGATTCGCCGACCACCGTCGGATAGAAGTTCTCCGATATGGGTAGTGCGGCACAGTCGTAGAAGAGTAGCAGCGAATCGAGCACGATCTGGAACGAATCGACCGAGAACTCAAACTGCCGCCGCATCGTGTCCACGAACTTCAGCTCGACGTTCTTGTGGCCGGGCGAGTTGCCCAGCGAGATGAGCGACCAGCGATCGCCGTCATTGTTGTTGTTCACCTTCACCATTTTGCCGACATAGGCCTCCTTGAGGGAGCACGTGTAGATGCGACGCTTGCACACGCCCTCGGGCATCAGGTCCAGGAGCGTATTGAGCACGGCGACCTTGACCCGATCGAACACCCTCGGGGAACTGAGCTCGATGGCGAATATCAGGTCGAGGTCGTTGTACGGCTGATCCTCGCTGGCTAAAACATGACTAGCTGCCCCGCCATTGAGACGGATGTCCTTAACTAACACCCCGGCGCCGCCGGCATTCACTTCCGCCTCCAGCTTGCGCCGCACCAGATTCACCAGATCCTTGAGCGTCACCTCCAGTGTGGGGAAGTTGCCGCGTCCGTGGATGGCCACCTTCTCGTCCATCACGTTGTGCAGCTTGCTAACCTGCTCGAACGAGAGCACGGCCAATCGTTGCGTCCCCCCGGTATCCACGCTCTCCAGCGATCCATGGTCCGAGGTGGAGGCAATCGATGAGCCGGAGCTCGGTGATGGTGGCGGTGTCTCAGTGCCGCCATCCGAGTGGAAGCCATCATCGATCTGGTATACGTCCATTCTGTTGCTGCGCTGTTGATGATATAACGGTTCGGCTCCGTCTAGTGTCCCGCACTATAATTGGAGAGAAGAAAGGATACTAGTTAGTACAAAGGATTATAACTTATGATGATGTGACTATATACCTAGTATATTATATATATATGGTATAGGACTTATTATGTTTGTTTGATCTTCTGTTAGTTCTTGTGGGTTAGACTACCATCGTCTATGTCTTTGGTGGCTATGTAGGACTATGGACTATGTAGTGGCTGCTCCAGACCGAACTTAGTATTTGGAATTTTGGGTGGAGGTGGAAATGTCTGAGTCAACGAATGAAATCTGGCTAAAAAGCAACTGTCTGATTGAATTCAAAAGGCCATGTGAGTTTCTCCAAAAACGGTAGTTGACGGGGAGATCTATAGAATCGAGTCTAGACTTCTAGATGTTTTGTTTTTTTTCTTCCAATGTCATTTTCCACCCTGGGGCTTCTTCTAATTAATTAATTTGCTTTAAATTTGCTGTTAAAATTGTCGGTGTCTGTGGCGCAGCCTACACACCACCAAGTTCTGCGCCATTTATTGTTTTTTTTTTTTATTTTTTGGCATCATATTCAATTGAATCTCATCGGATCGAAAGTTCCGCGTTGTTATCTTGGCTGGTTGTTGGCTCTCTATATGGCACATACTACTATACACTCCTCCCCAATATATAATACAATCGCCTTCTGTTTTTGTGCCACTGTTATAGCCGAGGGGCTATTATATCGTTTAGCTCTATCTCTTGTATAAGTTTTATCTCCCCGGTAGTGGCTGAAAGTATGTGTGTGTGAGTTTTGGGTTCTCTCTCTCTATTTTTTTTTTTTTATCATTTTGTTTGTGCGTTCACGAAATAAAAGCAAAAACAAAAAAATAGAAAGAATTAATTTTCTGGCCGCCACCACACTAAAAAAATATATCTATGTATATAGTATAGTGTATATATATATATATTGTGCCGCCAAGAGCAACGATTAGGGAATTAGGAGAACTGAGGAAGGCACTTTACCATTCAAATGGATTCTTCTGCATGATTCACAGCCAGCAAGTTAGTTAACCCCCGAGAATATGCCAGCCGGGCCGCCGACCTGCCCGATTTGCACAAGTCAGTACGTCGGTACGTCAGTACTTTTCATGCAAATCAAGACGAAGGCTCTTCTATTAAATATTATTCACACGCCAACACAAAAAATCAGAGAAAAACAGTGCTGCCAAAAGCTATAGCTGGAAGATCAGGTGCTACAAGACATAGACCTCTGATGCAAAAAAAATATATAGTATAGAAAGTGTACTTATCGCACTTTGCAACTTCCTGAAGATAACGATTCCAGACTTGTTACTTTTTTTTGGATGGAATTTCACCATTATTATAGGGCTATTTTAAAGCAAACTTAGAGAGGTATGATATTTTTAAGAAGCTAAAATAAAGCCAACACTGACAAAGTGGGAGACCCCTATTGCATTAATTTGTGCTTAGTTTTCGTGTGAATTGGGTAATATATAACTAAATTTAAGTTCGGCTTCGGCTATGGGGTTAGTTTGCATCTTGGGAACTGCCGCGTGGCTGGGTTCACACTTCTAGAAGGGGTCTCGGGTCTCATACAGAGAGTAGAGTATAGTCTCCTTCCAGATTCTTCTCGACAATTAAATGTTTTTTTTTTATTTTTATTTTTTTTATAAATTTTTCTATTGACGTCCGGACCTAGACCACAAATTGTGGCTGTCATAGCAATTTTAAATGTATTTATTTTAATTGTTTCAACTGCATTCTCATGAGGCCTTCCTGGGGGGACAACTTTCTAGCCAATTTGGTAAGCCCTGGATCTGTCGTAACTTCATTAACACCTCTCTGCTAGTTAATGATTATTTCTTTGTTAATTACTTTCTTTATTTATTTTTTGGCAATACAGATACTCTGTGTGTAAACTTCATTAGGCTTTATCATTATCATATCTCTGTTTCAGTTTCAGTGGCAAACAGCAATGCTGCTTCTGCTGCTGCATGCAAACAGGTGCAAGTTGGTAAGAGTATGTTGGCCTAGACTGGAGGGGGGGGGACTGGTCTCAAATAAAAGTGAAAATCGTTGTTTTTTCCTTCGCCTCTCGCTTTGCTTCGCTCTTTCGTGGCTAAGGAAAGCAGCAACAATCCAACAATGGCAGAAAGTCTCTTACACCAACAACAACAACAACAATAAAAACAAAAGCCAACTCACAAAATCAAAGCTTAAATAGTTGGCCTATACAGATACAGATACAAGCACAGTCTAGGACAAAATATTAGGTGCAGGTACCTCAAAATTAACTCAAGTGAACTTTTAAGAAAACTTTTAGATTTAAGCCTTAAAGATACCTTGTTTCGCTTCACAAATACTTTATGATTTAAGCCTCTTTTTAATATATATCTTAAAGATACTTTTTTTTCGTTCAACCTACCGGACAGAGAGTGCAAAGTAAGTAGGCAAAAACAAATATGGATTCCGTGTGGATTTTATTTTAGCACCGCATCACCATCACCGAAATTAAGAAGGAGGGTGGGCGCTGGGGCGCTGGGTGGCCGGGTGCCCAATTGGCGCCTACTAAACGCGACTACGACTACGCGACTCGGCAACTCGGGGGTTTTTTTTTGCGATTCGATTCGATTCAGGCTGCGCTGCGTGTATTTCGTTGCAAGTATCTTTTATTTTTCGTTTCGTTTCTTTTCGAATTTCTGCACTTTGATTTTCACACCACACACCGAACACTGGCTATTTAATTTATTTGAAATATTTTTCCTTTTCTTTTCTTTATTTTTTTTTGGTTGCTATATCTTTTTCAATTTTTTGTTCGCCCCACCGCAGAGTGGAGAGCCGGATGCGTCCGTTAGGTTGCGCGTTCAGAAACCAAATGAAAACCGCCTGGTGGCTTTGCGGCAAACGCCAGCAGCAGCAGAGGCAGCGCCGTAGCAGCGGCAGCAGCAGCAACAGTGGCTGCGACGCTTAGAATATTCGCGAGCGAATAAAAGCTCTCCCGCGCCAGCTGACGTCACAAGGTTTTTTTTCGCCCCCTCCCACCAGCCCCACACTCCAAACTACAGTTGGCTTTTGAGTGGAATTTTGTTTGAGTGACTTTTCGGCTTGGGCTTTTTTAGAAGGGCAACCTCACACACACACATACACTGGCAAGCAAGCGTCGATGGGTTAGTCGGTCGATCGAGTGCCTCTCTTTCTCTCGCTCTCTCTTGATGCAATGCGGGTGCAGTGCGCTCAGCTGATAAACCGATCAAGAAAGAAAAGATACAGATACATGAGAAGAAGAAGCAGACACTAGATGCGCAAGTGCACACGTTGCATGTCTGCGTGAGATGCTTTTTAGCCATTTTTTAGCTGAGATTTCGATTTCATTGGCACTGGAAAAAAAAGTAGAGTACTTGGAATAATTACCAATATGCCCATTTGTTGCAAACACAAAGCAAACATTTAAAAATCAAATTAGAAACAAAATAGAAACCTCGAACAATAGACAGAAATACAAAAACCAAAGAAACATTCGGTCAGATAGGAGGAAAACAAAAACCTACTGATAAGACCGACGAATACTACACTGCCAACAATACACTGAATTTTGTGTATTATGGTAATTGGAGAGACAGGCAGCCAAAAATAAATACAAATTATGTGAATAATTATTTAGAACCGGCGACCCAAAAGCCTGGCAACAATAATCTCTCTCTATGTGGGGTATACGCTTCTATCAGATACTCGTTTATCTCCCCGATGCGTTGGCCTTTCAAAACGACAACAACAACAACAACCAGAATATCACATCCGAGAGATGCCATAACATTTGATTATAATTTAGCTTCATTAGCTTTACCGTTAGGGCGTAGAATGCCGGTTCAATGTTATAATTTAACGAAAAAATTTAAGCAAACCATTTTGCAACATTTTTGAAAGGTTGTTTGGATTGCTTGATTAATGCTCATTCGTTCGTGATGGACGCCCAAAAAAAAAAAAAAATTACAAAAGCAATAACATTGAGGCAAGCGTTAATGTATCTTTCAGATACAAAACCATCTTGAAGTGCAACACAGGCAGCAGCACCACTAGCACTAGTCGAGAAATATAATACAAAGCTATGGTGGTGCTAAGGTCGAAGTCGGGCCAAGCTTGTTGCCATTATTAATGCTATTGTTGTTGCCTGTTAGCTGTTTCTGTATCTGTATCTGTGGCTATGCCTGATGATGGCTTGTCTTGGCCCGACGCGGCTGGGTTGTTTGGCAAGAGACGCAGACTCATTCAGGGCGACCCTGACCCAATAAGCCGTGTCCATTGCGAATGTATCAGTAGTATCTCTCACGTTAAGCACTCTGCATTTTGTGGCCAAAACCACCTGAGTTCCGCCGCCCTTTCCAAACAAGGCATTGCGGCTGAAACGAAAGTGTGATAGCCAAATTCTAGCCCTCCCCCCACCACACCTGCTGCCACACCATCGATACCAATCGCACCACGAATGCAAATCGCAACTAATTGTTATGCCAAGCACCGGGCAGGGCAGCCAATATCCAAAGACCCCAGACCCCAAAACCGGTCCGACCGACATTTCAAATACGCATTCGATTCGATGGAGCTCACTTGAGGGCCAGACGATGGCGGGGATACGCCACCGAAATCAAAAATCAGATTCAGATTCAGATTCACTTGCGTTTCTGGCATAGCTTCACATACTTCCAGAAACCAGATTGAAAATGAAAGTGCCCTAGTCGAGAATACTGGAGCCAGTTGGCTGGCTGCTTGGCTTGTGGTTTTTATTTCTTCAATTAGGGCTTAAATAGTTAACACAACTTGGCTAATTAAAGCCAACAATTAATTGCAGGTTTTTTTTGCTGAAAAATGCTGATCGGAAGTGCTAAATGAAAAGCCCTTCAGAGTGAATGACAAAGCGGAAATGGAATTTCTTCCTTTCTTTTGGGGCCGCCTCACCTTTCAGCAGTTTTCGGTTTTGCTTGTCTGGCTGTCTTGGCCCGATAGAGCTCTACTTTTGGCCAGGTTTTGGTTGAAAA